GTGTGGGACTGTGTGAATGTGTATGTGTACAGGGACGCGTGTCAATTGAATTTGTCAAGCACGGCGTGACCAGCGCCGCTAGCAGCCGTCCAGCAGGGCGGCGGGGCCCAGGATGCCCCCACTCACGACCCTCTGCCCCTGGCCCCGGGCCCCTGGCTGGGGCCCCCCCCCCCCCCAAAACACACACACCTGCGCCATGCGGCCCTTCTTGACGCGCGAAGCCAGGTTGGCCTTGATGCGGCCCATGCCGCCCTGACAGGGTTTAGGGTTTGAAGGTTCAGGTTTTAGGGCTTGTTGTCAGGTGGGGGGAGTGAAGAGTGGCGTTTTGGGCAGGGTGGTGCAAGGTGTCCGCGCGCGCAAGCGCACGCGCGCGTCTGCTCGACAGCCGCCCGCAAGGAGTAGATGTCCCAAGAATTCTAGGGGTTGAGCAGTGACTGCGCAGCGCAGTGATGGGTTGGAGTTCCCACCGCAGCTACATATGAGGGACCGCCGCCAATCGGGTATGCGTGGGCTTGAGGGATGTGGGCGGGTAAAGTACTGACTCATCGCTCGAGCCCAGAAACCGCTGGCGTGCCAGCCCGTCTTGCTGCTGCCTCCCTCTTGCACTCCGGTGGCACGACCAACAAATAGGCAAACTCCCAATCGAGAAAATCCCACGAGTAGGCAGTCCGTCAATCGATGAATTCACTGTCTCACGTCCAGGAGCTGCTGGTGGACCTCCTTGAGGAGCAGGTCCACGCCGCTGACTCCCTCCCTCAGGTGACCTAAAACTAACAATCCAGCAAAACCCCAAATCATCAAAACCACCAAACAGGCAAATTAATCAATCGACAATTATCTGCTCACGTCCAGGAACTGCTGGTTGACCTCCTTCAGCAGCACGTCCACCCCCGCAAGCGCGAGCGCCGTGGCGATGCCGCTGCCCATGAGGCCGCCGCCCAGCACGGCCGCGGTGCGGATGGGGCGCGGCTTGAGGCCGGCGTCGGTGACGCCGCGCACCTGGGGGGGGTGGGGAGGGGTGGCGTGTTTGAACGATGAGGCGAGGTGTGTGCGTGATGGAGAGAGGAGAGGAGTTTGTGTGCGCGTGTGTGTGTGTGAGAGAGAGGAAAAGGGAGAGAGAGGGGGAAGAGCGCGCTCGCGCGAGATGCAAATGTGTGCGTATGTGCGTGCACGCGTGCTAGTGTGTGTTCTTATGTGTGCGCGTGTGCGAGCGTGCAGGTGCAAGAGCGCGCGCGCACAGGGGCGTGGGATCGCCCCTGGAGTGGGGCGGGGGGCCGGGGCGGGTGCAGGTCGACAGAGGTCCACTCCACGCGACCCGGCCCCTCGTATGGCGCACACCGCACCCGCTTCTTTGCGGGTGCGGGGGTACCCCGGTCGGGAAAAGGTGGAAACCCCTCCTGAAAGCGGCAAAACCGTCGACAGGAACGCGGAACATGGTGCAAGAGTGATATCGCAAAATTGAGCGAAAGATGGGCCCCAGGATATTCAGTGTTTTGTGTGTGTGTGTGTGTGTGTGTGTGCGTGTGCGTGTGTTTGTGTGTGTGTGCGTGTGTGTGTGTGTGTGCGTGTGCGTGTGTGTGTGTGTGT